GTATTAGTATAGAAGTAGGTATAGATTACTATTTTTCATCGTGATATGTAGATAATAGCTACGTATTTGGTTACTGTCGACATCTATGTATCAGTTCTTTGCAAAGATCTCACATCCTATATATTTATTGAATACAGTTCTATTAAAATGAAAATGAGCTGATTTAGGTAATATAAATATAGACTAATAGCGTTTCCCGTCGGTAACAAATATTTTAAATGCTCTTATTTACTCTGTACCGGATGTGCGCTGAATATTTTTTCTCAAACTTTCTCAAAATCGTTCCACACTTAGTCGCTTCTTTATTAAATGTGTAGTTGAAAAATACACGAGCACAGTGTATTGCAGGACAATATATTACGTCTAAGCTCTCAGCAGTGCGGCTGCGTAGAGCCGCGATGCCGCCGAGATAACGCGCCTGGGAACCGAACTCTACCAGCGCCTCTAACCTCACTAGGCTCCTTATTTGCTGTTTCTGCAATATTATTACTTTATATTTTTTGCTTCATACGAATAAGAATATCAGAAGGCTCGTTTGTTTTCCTTGTTATATTTATCAATATCATATTTATTATCTAAAGATATTAAGATAATTTATCTGGTTTATTATGTTTTATGACATCCCATATCAAGTAACTAAGACGTAATGGTAGATAATCTAAATCACCTTTTAAGTAATTATGCGTAAGTGCCGCCTATTGTCATTCAGAGGCCGTTCCGTCCGGCGACTTCAATTACTATCTCGCCGCAAACAGCGCCATTCATCTCGCTTGATCTTATTAACTTAACACTTGACAACCAGAGTGAGATCCCGTACACCAAGTCAATCCTATAGCTCGCTCGCTCAGCTTAGTCTGGTCATCGGTCATAGCTATCCACGGCGGAATCTAATAGCACGAGGCGACCAGAGAAAAGACCCTTTAAGGTATATCTGCAGTGTGGCCTGACGGGTCAGCTTACGCTGGAACATTAGTTATGGTTATCTGACAGGATCTTATGCGCAGTTATGAATCATTTGGCTGCATGTATGGCCACGTAAGACCGGTGAGTGACTATTAACTAACTAGGGTTTTAGGAGTTATTTTTTGTAAAAACGTATTTATCTAGATAGGTAAGTACATATAATGTATATTAATGTAATATATTTTGATTCAAGAAAAATACCTATACCTAATTATAAAAAAATATAGTAGTAGACAAACATAAACACCCGTCTGCTGTAGTTATGAAGTGTCCCTAGTTCGATTCCAAATCGAGGCGTGAATTGGCTATATGTCCCAATGTATATTTCATAGATACACAGTACATACCTTTTAAATAATTTTTTGTTCTTCTTTATTATTTATTACAGCTTTATACCGATTCAGGCAATTTTGAATGTTAAGCCTTTAAATTATTACTTACATATAAGGTGTTAGCGTTGGTGTCAGTAATGACGTGTGATATGTCCACGTTTTCTTGCAATCAGTGGCCGTTGCAATTCTGTCACGCGCCCACGCAGCCGCGCGGCTCGAGACACGGCCCGAATGTTGCGCGCATATTAGCTCGTCCTCGTCGCCCATTCTCACGTCAGTGCCAGGTTAGTGCGAACCGCACCGTTAATCAATCACGGACCGTGGGACCGCTTGCGCCCGCGCATACCCCTCGGCCCTCCTTTCCCTCTCGTCACCCGGCACGTATGTCATTTGCAGCTTACATGCTAATTAAGCGATCCGAAAAAAGACGTTTGATAATAACAAAGTTTATTGACATTTCGTCAGTACCTACTTATCTATAAACTATTTATGCGCAATACAAGCGATGCGCACATTTTGATAGATTTCCTAAGGGGTGTACGCTCGCAGTAGCAGGCATTCTGCGCAGGCGCGAAATACGAAACAATGGCGGTTTAAAATACAATGAGTGCGACCTGAAATACATAACAGCGACATTCCCGTCACGACCGCGCTTTCCTTTTTCGCCTATTTTGTTCGTGGCCGCGGCGTAGGAGAGGAAGCCGATCACGAGGCACGGTGACCTCCGCTTATTAATAACGTGGCTTGAATTGAATATCCCGATCCGAGATGATACTCTCATCTCATCGGCGTCATTGCTTTTCCTTTACACCCACATTCCTGCTACAAAGATAACACGTAACACAGAACAGTCCCTTAATATGCATCGGAGCTCTCAATCGTATCTCGAGCATAATAGATGTAGTCGTGATCGCATAAACTAGTCGTCGACTCGATGGGCGCTAATTGCTGTTCGCAATTCAGCGTGACGACGGCCGGGCACGACCGCGGCCAGCTCCCGTACATCCTACCCTAATTCTCGCGGCTACTGCCGTTTAGCATACATTATAATGGAAATCAGCCTCACCACCGATGTCTTACTTCGCATTGTTAAGACTTACCCCTCCGATAGGAAACATCGACCTTCTCTTCAGACCTTTCGGTTTCTTTTGCTCTAGCAATATCGGGAAGTACAAAAGCCATTGTCGAATTGAATGCTTTACAAGTGTCTGCAAGTGAATAGGCAAATTGTCTAATTAGTGTGATGGTCAACAGGCCGCGTGTTTCAATAAGAATTATATGCAAATAGTAATTCCTAGCAAACGGTACAGAGGACAACGTCGTGAGGAACAACCCGCGAGAGTGTTAACATTATGAAAATGTCTATTCTAAATATTCTCTATACAAATTGACTAAATATAACTCTCTTACATTTTACCGAATTGTTGCGTTGTTTGTTTATACTTTAATACGTCTATTTAAATTCAAACAGACCTAGTGTTGATTACGTGCGGACGGGCTATTTACTCGCACTATGTTTATGGAAATTTGTAAAAGTTTCTGTTTTCTCTACAAATAAGCGAGTGAAATATATAATAGTGCTAATATTGTTGGACTTTTTATCCAAATAATAGCTCACCCTAGCTTGCCTCTTATATTGGTTTTTACTACAAAGAAACAAAGTTTATTAGCATGCAATGTATGCTACGCTATTTTTATGAGCGTCATTAATACGTAATTACTTTAAGAAAATATAATTATAATTCTTTATAAGAATTAAACTTCTGCTTTTTAAGAATTAAAAGAAAACTTCTAGAATTACTAATACTAGAAGTGATTTGGTGTTTATTTGTTTCTCCAAGTAATGAACTTACAAAAATAAATACTGCTCATATTTATAGGTTTCTTGTATACATATTATCTATTATATTAGATAGTTGTAAGCTATGTATACATATATGGTGTTGTATGTCATTGTGTGACAACTTCACCAAATCACTAGAACTTTTCAAAAGCTTAGCTCCTAATACTAAGGACAACTCCTAAATAATATATAAGAAATATAATATAATAAATAAGACTAACTATGTAATATAAGTAATATAGTAAATAAGAAAACAATGTACTATAAATAGACAAGATAGATAAATAAAATTTGTAAGTTTGTTTATAATTCAAGATCTTATCCTCTATCTACATATATAGGAAGGAAGAAAATTTGATGATAAAGATAAGTACATCGTAAGGACGAAATATGAATGATTCTTGATAGTTGGCGTGTGAACTGTAAGGTAGATCGTCGCAGGCGCATGTAGGCGACGACAGCAGCCCTTATCTAGCACGTATCACCCCCGTCCCGCGCCTGCCTCCCGCACGTCCCGCACGTATCCCGCACCGGAAATGTAATTTTACCTCCACCGGGACATGTCCGCGGGACGTGCGTCGACTGCTGCGACACTTCGTGACTGCTTGTTTTTTGTTGCTTCCTCTCGCCCTTCACACGCTAGTTAACTAAATTATAAAGTAGTACAAATAATACGTAACGACCTGGAGGGTTGGTAACAATTATTTTTCAACAAAAAAATCCATTACTTTTTACTTTGGTCTTATCTAGTCTTCTATTGTATTCAATGTTCTAGTTACTATAATGTTCTATATTTTATTTACTTTTATGTAGAAATAAAAGTTTCATTTCAAACTGTTGGGTAGATCTGATGTCCAAGATTGAGCTTCTCTAAGCTACGCAAAGACGAATTTAGGTGTTAAAAACTTATACTTGTATAAACTGCCAAAACATAAATTAAAATTCAATAAATTTTACTGTTTAATTTCACCGAATGATAAATATATGTATTTGTTTAAGCATAACTTTATGTTTTTTATTGCTATTATATTTTAATGGTATTTACTTAATACTACTTACATAAAGACACTAACCCAGGCCCCGCGGTCACATCGTGGCAGGAGCCGTGCGAGAGCTGCACTTGATGCAATTTGGTACTTTATTATGACCTATGGAATTTGGTACTTTATTATGTATAGCTATAGACGTTTTGCCTAATTAAAAAAATCATACATTCGTTAGCTAGTACACTTAAACCTAGATAAAATAAAAACTGAAAATCATTTAGACCTGGCAATCGATGGTCTATGCTATCGTAACATACCCCTTTACAACCGGCGAACTTATTTTTTATTTTTTCGTGTATGATTTATGTATTCTAGTTATTTAGGCTTCAAACAACCTAAAAAAAATATTTAAAAAAATTAGGTACCCCCCCTTTTTTTTTAAAAGTACCCTCACGATCGTGACGATCAGGATTAAATTGACTTACGTACGATGGTGATTTTTTAGGAAGCAGTTGGGTTAATGAAATAAAAATCTAGTATAATCAATTTCATTTATATCTGTGATTAAATAATTTGGTAATCTATACATAAGTCTTTATAATTGAGCACATATTTTTGGTTTAATTATACTTGTATGTATAAAACTTATCTATATTTGTATTTATTATATAATCTGAGCAACTTCAGCATATAAATTAGATTAAACCTTTGAAAACATAAAAATAACTAACATACTAGGAACCATTTTGAGACCAATTGCAATATCTAATAATTTTATTTGTAACATACAAATAAAATTATTAGATATTGCAGTTCGCATGGTATAATCGGAAATAATCTTTTCCCCGCGACATGCACAAGTAAACATCGTATTTACACAGCGAATTTTGCTCCTATTTGTACATGTCTCCAATCTGCAGGAACGTTGAGCCGATAACTGTGCCAAGGTTGGAAGATGATCATATCCATCATATCTCTTTGCTTGCTTACTCTCCAATGTCTTGCTGGCATATACTTGAAAGGCGGTGCCTCATCTCCAGTATCTGTGTCTTGACTTAATCGGCGTTTGCGGTCTGGAGTACTCAACCAAGCATCTGCTACTTCCATTTTAAAGTTCAGAAGATCTATTTTTTTTTTCGGAAGTTTATTAGCTTCACAATCTATTTTATACTTCCGCCATGCATAAACTACAAGCTAAAATGAATTATTGGAGCAAATGAAAAATAATGGATATTGGAGCATCCAGTCAAAACCTCTTCATCCCTCAAAACAGAAAAAATACATTTTTCGTAATTATAAATGAATTAAAACTCGGATTATCACGATCGTGATGATGTAAGTTTAAGAGATCACAAACAAAAGAACAACTATGCTATCAAAACACAAATTACGGCATACGGTTTTTACTGACAAAACCCGTCATTACTGCTAGCTTATGACGTAGATAGTAGTAACTTGTCTTTTGTGAAACTGAACTGAGCATCAAAATCGGGATTTTAGCAACTAATTAACTACATATTTTACGCATATCACGATTGTTTTTTAACCATTGATTGCGAGCGTGACAGGGCTCTTTTCGTTGATAAATGACCATAAATAACAAAAAGAAATTTATTGTTATTTATGTAAACTTATGTGTAATTTATAGTAGGTATGTACCGTATAAGTACGTATGTTATATTGGTTTTTTTTGCGCCAACCCCTATCCATTCTACCTTAAGAGTTCCTTTATAGGTTTATGGGTTGCCTGGAAGAGATCACTTTAAGTGATAAGGCCGCCTTTACACTGAAATATTTTTCATATAATATGTGTTTTAAAATTGTACTTCTTTTTTGGTGTAATAAAGTACATTGTATACAGCATTAAACATTTTATATATAGATACAACATTTTATATATTGCAACCCTAATTTTAAGTTTTTAATTCATCATTGATAAATTGCATTATATATTTTAAAGAAGACTAAAATAACTATACTATCAAGACGAGTGCAGTGGAGTAGTCGAGAGCGGTGAGCGACAGCACGTAGCCGGACCACTTCCAGCGACTGTGCACGCAACTCTTCTAATAAAGTCTTTATCCACCACTCGTACATATTATGATACTGTTAGATTTAAAGTTATATTTGCAAAATAAATTAATAATCTGTACATATAGCAAAACAGTAACTTAGCGAAATCTGTACATAACAAACAAACAAACAATACTTTTAAAATACAACGACTATAACGTGCTGTACAGAATAAAGACCCCAAAACAATAGTTATTAAAAAGAATGTCTGTTTCTTTGTATTTCTGTTTGCAAAAAGTAATGAACCGATCTTAACGAAATTTTGTGATATGATAACTTATTACTCGGGTCAACATTTAAGATACCTTGTGATGATGATGTTCTCCTAGCCGATTCCGGCCACGGCGGCCAATCTCAATGAGATTAGCCAACTGCGCAGGAGATATTATAGTGCTCAAGTGTACGCGCAGACACAAGTGCACTCTCTATTCCTATCACTCTCATACTCCGGTGGGACGACCACTCGACACGACCGGTGAGAGTTAAGGCGCAGGACCGACGGCTTAACGTGCTCTCCGAGGCACGGGGGTGAAACACCGCCAACTTCCCAACTCCGGGCTGTTACTGAGACTTAATATACAGGAAGACTCAATAACTAAACTTGGGCCGACCCGGGACTCGAACCCAGGACCTCGGGGTGTGCAGCCGTACATGCTAGCCACTAAACCACCGAGGCAGTTAAATAATATATATATCTTGTAGGATAGGAATATAGGATACCTTGTAGTGTGTATATGTATAAGCCTCCCCGATACTTATATATTGTACAACCTGTTATTATTTAGAGAGTATTAAAAGAGCCTTGGAGCCAAACAGTTGTCTCATTTAGTTCCCACATTACAACCTTTTACTTAAGGAAAAAAATTCTTACCCACGGGAAAACACAATAACTGGTTCTATCAAGTCACCTTAGAAACCTTCCACTGGCTAAACCTTAAGACATACATCAAAACAATGTACTAGAAAATTGTAGGTCTTGAAAAGGCCTACAGAAAAGTCTGCAATAGTATATGTCTGCCTAAGGTACACTTGCAATAACTATTTTTATCCGTATTAATATTAGGTATAAATGTGAAAGTTTGTGAGTAGGTATATATGGATATTTGTTACTCTTTCACTCCAGAACGGCTGAGCCCATCTGGGTGAAATTTGGCACAGAGATAGCTAGTCTGGAATTTGGCACAGGTATAAAACCTTCTGGTTGTCTGGAATAACACATAGGCTACTTTTTATCCCGGAAAAATGTACGGTTCCCGTGGGATAGGTTTGTTTTTGTTTGTTTGTTTACCTAGAGGTGAAACCGAGCGTAGCGAGGGTGAGCCACTAGTTATATATATAAAAGGCAATGTCGCGACTCGCTAACTTATCTTTTATTAACCGTTCAGCCTAAACCGTGGCGTCATTTAAGAAAGGATTTTCGGTTTAGGCTGAACGTTGATAAGTCAGTTTTGTAGAATAATTTTTAAATGAATTTGAAAAGTAATGAATCTGCAAATATACCTATTGAATTACATAACATTTTTCTTTGGATAAGGCTTATGTTACGTAAGCGCTAAGCTCATCAAAATACTTTCTACACTAAACATTAATTTTGTCGAACGATTGGAAATTAATGTTTTTGTCAAATAAAAAAAAAACAGACATCGGACCACGATTTTAAAAAATTGTATTTAAAACCAAAGCAATGAACCTATGCCTAAATCACTCTTTACGAAGTTATGGGAAATTCATAAATTTTTCAGCTTACTGTTATAATAATACGTTACTTTTATGTGAAATGAACGAGCTTAAATAAAATATAAACAACTTTCAGGCTTACAGACGATAAACATGTAAATGTAAAAACATCTGTTTATATTCCGATAGGTAGGTATACTACCTATGTAGAATCAATGCAGACCGATTTCTTCAATTCTCAAGGGGACAAAGAGGATCTATAATTAATAAAAATATTATTTAAATAGTGGCATCGTAATCTTTAATTTAATAATGTTATTTAATATTGTTAAAAGAACAATTTTTTTTTATTATCAAAAAGTGATACAAAAAATAGTCTGGAATTGAGAGCGGCCACCTGGTGGGCATTAGCATTGTATTGTAATGCGAGATGTACTCGCCACGGGCCACCGGCCGCCGGTTAGGGCCACAGAAAAAATATACGATTGTTAAAGAAGGCAAATTAATGAATTATTTAGCGTAGACGCTGACTGCCAGCGCGACACGCTCCCGCGAGCCCCGCGAGCTCCCGCACTGACATACGCGCGCTGCCTGCACTTAGCTGCACATTGTCGATCGATGTGATGTCGTTCCTAGCATACTGATCTATTAATATAAATATTTTTACTCTCGCGTCTATTACGATGCAAAAAGATAAGCGCTGAGATATAACAACAATGCTTTACTTTAACATATTCGTTCTTAACTTTAATTTTATTAAAAGTGGACATTATGAAGTGTGAACAGCAGCTTATCTGTTAACAATTGTAATAAATTTTAATAAATACATGTCGATGTCTCCTCTGGCAGTCACCCTCATTACTATGGATCTATAAACATGCCGAAATTGTTGGCGAGTGCTTTTTAAATGTTGCGTTTAGTTTTATGAGATAAGGTCTACATTCCTGCAGCGCCTTCGGAGGTGATGAATTCTTGGTCCGAGGTGAGCAGTGATTGACGCGTCGCTCGCATCTGAATAATGCGGCGCAGGCGAACTGTTTTCATGAATACCATGAATAGCCAACTCGCGTACTGCGCCCGCTTTATCCGAGAAATTAATCGGAAATAATACCGTTTATCGACATCGTAATAGGGTTAATACGTCTCACAAATGACTGCACAGCCAGATATAGCGACCGACCTTGGCGACCAAGGTTTTCCAACAAAGAGTATGTAGCTGCCGCATGCCTGGCGTGGCTACTTGAGATTCCGTGTCGTGGCGTTCGACGAGTTATTACCGAGAGTGTCGATTGTGATTCCGCGGGCGACGTCGGCCGCTGCGCATACGCAAGCAGGACAGCGCAGTGTTAGAAAACTCTACGTGCCCGGAGATACGTGTCCGAGCGCGGTCCGCCGCCTGGCAACAGCGACCAATCGGCGACCACTCCTCATGAACTACGATATGATCAGTATGAGCCCGAATGAGGTCCTAACTGTTTTCTGCTTTTCAGCCATATATCCACATACCAGCTCGTGCCATATAGATAGAGGCAATAGCCTCGTAAACAACTCGTGATGTGGCTGATACCAATGATTGATATAATATGATGATATTTATATCCCTGAAGTAATCTGAAACAACGAGTGTTTTAGAGAGCGATGGGGAAGAGTTGTGAATTTGTTTATATTCCTATTGTAAAATGAGTTTAAGGTTCATTACCCAACAGCCAATTTAATAAGAAGGGAATATTTATTTTTAGCTATCCTCCTACCTGTACTTTTTTTTATTACAGTATGATATTTAACTAAAAGCAAGATAGGTGATGGATTCCAGTCCTAGATTTTCATGTAAGGCACATTAGAATAAGTATATAGAGGTAAATTTTACGAGCTTACACTCATAGTAGAGGTGTAAAATGGTGTAACTGGGACTCAGTGCCAATTAAATAATTGCAAAACCAAATTAAAAAGTCAATAACTATTTTAGCGAATTTTTATGCTCTAAAATAGTGTTTATAATAAAATTTGTACACACCTTCAATGATAGGAAACAAAAATATTGCAACTTTAATAAGGAAGCATTATGGTCATAGTTATTGTTGCATTTTTAAATCCAGGTATAGTTCATGGCGGTGGTCGCGGTGGTCGCGGTCAGCGCTGTCATTGCGCATGTCCATCACGTCGGGTCTATCTCGACGTTCACTATTATTTCCTTTTATTTTAGCAGGAATATCTCGTTCGTGGAGAAATGGATAAATATAGTCGTCTTTTCAAGAATTAATGTTCTAACGTTGCGCGGAGAATTCTATATTCTAACATTTCTTCGTATTATGTCATTCCAAACTAAATATTTTAATATGAAATGAAACAGCGCGGCA